AGAGACAGGGTTGTTGCCCAGGTGTTGCCCAGGCTGGTCTCCCTCTTGGGCTCAAGCGATCCTCTTGCCTCAGCTTCCCGGAGTCCTGGGATTATAGGCATGAGCCAGCCTGGTGAGTTTTGGAAACAACTGTGAGCTGGACAGCACTTGTTCCCAAGGTCCATGTGTCAGTCTTGGCACCTAGATGGCCTAGCATCTGCGCGCGGTGATGTTTCTTCATCGGCGCCTGTGTGGGGTGTACAGGCTCATTTATGGAACAGCTCATAGCCCGCCTCCCATCCGAGAGTGTCCTTCCTGAGCCTGGAGGATGTGACAGGGTGACGCATGATGCCAGGGAGGTGCCAGGCGTAGCGCCTTCCTCTCCTTTGCTCTCACCCAAGCCTGGTCCTTAAGTGGTTAAGACCTGCAGTGCCTTAACCCCTTTGCTTTCTCTCAGTCCCCTCCCATCCTCATTTCCTTCCCTGTGAAAAGGACAGACCCGTCAGACTTTACCTTAAGATTCTCTCTGCTGTCTTCACCTTCATTGCCTTGTTGCTCTTCCTTCTCTCCTAGCAGCCACTGAGGGGGGTCAGCCTGATGTTCACTGCCGCATCCACACCTTGATCGCTCCATATGGACGGACGTCTCACTGCCTTTTAGAGGGGCCTCCGCAGACTCTAGGTCTTTGACTAATTTGGGCTCTTATTTTTTTTTTTCTCTCTATCTTTCCTCCACAGAGGAATTATTCTTAAGTGTAGACCTGATCATGGTGTTGCCCTGCCTAAAACCTTTGGGAGGCTAGTTCAAATGTGGTTGTGACTTCTGTCAATTTTTCATAGTTACAGATCGAACTCCTCCTTCTGCTCTTTCCCTCCTTCTCACTGCTGCTGTTGACTAGTTTAAAAAACAAACAAAAACCAGCTGGCAGGGTTGCTCATGCCTGCAATCCTAGCACTTTGAGAAACAGATGGGAGGCCTTCTTGAACTCGGGAATTGAAGACCAGTCTGGGCAACATAGTGAGACCCTCTCTCTGTAAGAAGTTAGCTGGATGCAGTGGTGTGCACCTTTAGTCCCAGCTATTTGAGACGCTGAGTTGGGAAGATCATTTAAGTCCAGCAGGTCGAGGCTTCAGTGAACTGTGATCATGCCACAGCACTCCAGCCTGGGAGACAGAGGGACACCCTATCTCAAAAAAAAAAAAAAAAAAAAAGAAAACAAACCCAACCCTTTAGAGCGGGATTGTCCAATCTATGGCTTCCCTGGGCCACATTGGAAAAATAATTGTCTTGGGCCACACATAAAACACACTAACAATAGCTGATGAGCTAAAAAGAAAAATAAATAGTTGCAAAAACAAAAAATCTCATGATGTTGTAAGAAAGTTTACGAATTTGTGTTGGACTGCATTCAGAGTTGTCCTGGGCTGCAGGTTGGACAAGCTTGCTTTAGAGGCTCTCTGGGACCCTCAAAACCAACCAGTAGCGCAAGCTCAGTCTTCTGTGTCTTACAGAATGTATGCCTTTACTCAGCCCTGCTCCATTTCCTAGGCGCTCCACAGTCCAACCGCTTTGAGCTGCTTTTCCTTCTTTATATGTACAGCTCTCTCGCCTCTGAGCCTCCACATCTGCTTTTCCCCAGCACTCTCCCTGCTTGCCTTCTCCGCCCTGGCTCACTGCCAATCTGTGTTTAGGCTCTTTGGGAAGCCCTCTCTTTCACCCCGTTCCCCTGGTCTGGCCTGGAAGCCCGTCCTTACCCCTGTCAGGGCACCTTGAAACCTAGGAATGAAAACATGACACTTCTCTGTCTGGCTGATTTTCTCAGTTGAAGCAAGGCAGGAGTTTTGTTTGTCAGGACTTAGGCAAGCAAAATTCAGAGGAGACTTTTAAAGCATTTTTTATCATTTAAGCAGTCTAACTGTTGGTGCTGTTAAGAATTGAGTGTTCTTGTTGAAGAACTGTTTACTGGTTTGGGAGGGACAGGGTTCCGGTCATGCCGCTGGGCAGAGTACAGTGTGAGCTGGTCATTTCATTGTCCCCTGCCAGTGGGAACAGCAGGTGTGCATCCAGAAAGGAACACAAAAGGTTCATCCCAGAGGGTGAAGGTTAAAATCCCTGGGAGTACGTCATGATCAATATCTGATGCTTCTCAGTTCTCATGTCGTGTCCTCTGAGAAGGCCTTCCCATCCCCCAGTGAGGAGGAGCATCTGCTCTCAGGCCCGTTGGCAGTGGCTGTGTGTGCCTGTCACTCAGTGAGTGCATAATTTGTGTTTCGGTGCCCTTCTCTCCTCACAGGATGGCAGCTGCCCGGGGGGTAGAGGGTGCAGCTGTCACGTATACTGCTATATTGCAGGGCCTGGCTCAGAGTCGGGGCTTGGTAAGCTTGTGTTGACTGAATACAAAAGAGATGAGGCCAGACACCGTGTCTCACACCTGTAATCCCAGCACTTTGGGAGGCTGAGGCAGGTGGATCACTTGAGCCCAGGAGTTAGCAACATAGTGAAACCGCATCTCTACTAAAAATACAAAAATTAGTGGGGCGTGGTGGCAAACACCTATGGTCCCAGCTACTCGGAAGGCTCAAGTGAAAGGATCTTTTGAGCCTGGGAGGTCAAGGCTGCAGTGAGCTGTGATTGTGCCACTTGCACTACAGCCTGGGTGACAGAGTGAGACCTCTCTCAAAAAAACAAAATAAACAAACAAACAAAAAAAAACAAAGAAAAGATGAGAACCAGAGAGATTTGATTTTTAATTTACCTTTTCTGTTGTTTTTTGAAACTGGGTTCTTTCTGTCATCCAGCCTGGAGTGCAGTGGCATAATTTCAGCGTACTGCAACCTCAATCTCCAGTGCTCAGGCACCTCTGTTTCCCAAGTAGCTGGGGCCACAAGTGCATGCCACCACACCCAGCTAATTTTTTTTTTTTTTTTTTTTGAGACAGAGTCTCACTCTGTCACTCAGGCTGGAGAGTGCAGTGGTACAATCTCAGCTCACTGCAACCACTGCCTCCCAGGTCCAAGCACTTCTCCTGCCTCAGCCTTCAAGTAGCTGGGATTACAGGCACCCACCGTCATGCTTAGCTAATTTTTGTATTTTTAATAGAGATGGGGTTTCACCAAGTTGGTCAGGCTGGTCTCAAACTCCTGACCTTAGGTGATCTGCCCACCTTGGCCTCCCAAAGTACTGGGATTACAGGTGTGAGCCACTGTGCCTGGCCTATTTTTTAGTATTTTGTAGGGATGGGGGTTCTACTGTGTTGCCCAGGTTGGTCTCAAACTCCTGGACTCAAGCAGTCTTCCTGCCTTATACCCCTAAAGTAGCCAGCACACCCAGCTCATTTTTAATTCTTTTTTTTTTTTTTTGAGATGGAGTCTCGCTCTGTAGCCCAGGCTGGAGTGCAATGGTGCAGTTTCGGCTCACTGCAACCTCCACCTCCCGGGTCCTGGTTCAAGCAATTCTTCTACCTCAGCCTCCCAAGCAGCTGGAATTACAGGCATGAGCCACCACGCCCAGCTAATTTTTGTATTTTTTAGTAGAGACAGGGTTTCACTATGTTGGCCAGTCTGGTCTTGAACTCCTGACCTCGTGATCCACCCGCCTCGGCCTCTCAAAGTGCTGGGATTACAGGTCTGAGCCACTGCACCTGGCCTTAATTCTTTTGAAAGACGGGTCTCACCCTGTTGCCCAGGCTAGTCTCAGATTCCTGGGCCCAAGGGATCCTTTACCTTGGCTTCCCAAAGTGTTGGATTACAGACAGCTATGAGATTTAATTTTTGTGCGCGGCTGAGATTTAATTTTTTCAAAATAACAAGACTGCTATAGACATTGCTAGAGAAGAAAGCTGCTGTGATTTTGCATCTTCAGGTGTTATGTGTGTGCCTGCATGATCCGCTGCAGCCCCAGGGGCAGGTGTTCTATCTTCTCAACTGTGAGACTTTTTGAGTGTCCCCTCATTAATGCATTTGTTTTCTCAGAGGAGGTTTTGTTAGTTGATACTCATCTTGAAGATAATTTAGGGCCGGGCGTGGTGGCTCACGCCTGTAATTCAAGCACTTTGGAGGCCAAGACGGGTGGATCACCTGAGGTCGGGAGTTCAAGACCAGCCTGACCAACATGGTGAAACCCCGTCTTAAAAAAAAAAGAAAGAAAGAAAGAAAAAAGAAGGTAATTTAGGATTCAAGGAATTTCTTTTGGAATCCTAAGCCTGAATTCCCCCCCACCCCCCACAACTAATCATGAGCCCAAAGGAGGAGGAAGAGGAAATTTGAACCTTCACCACCCACAGTCCCATTCTTAAACTGAATCAGTAATTGAATGCTATTAAGCAAAATTAATTTCCCTCCTGCAGGAAGGTTTATGATGAATGAAAGGATTGCTGATCTGGCAGGAAGCCAGGCTTCCCTCTGCTCATCAATATTTCAGAGCCACAGGCAGTGTCAGGAAGGTAGCTGTCCTGGCTTGGCTGACCTTGAGCATGCATGAAGATAGGATCTGGCCAGGGAGGTTATACTGAAAGGGCTTATTACAAGTCACTTAATGATAACTTCAGTGAAATTTGCAAAATGCACCTGTGGGTTCATTGAATTTACACCGTCAGCTAGTGGGAGGCTCCCCCAGCTGGTTCTCTGGGACCAACTTGAGACTAGTCCCACTGGAGGTCACAGCTCTGTGCAGAGCTGAAATGTTTAATGCTGGCTCTCTGGGGGGAAACATTCCTGATTTGTAGCATCTGCCAATTCCTGTGATGTCAGTATACTCCCACCATAGCCAGGTTACAGCTGCTGACCCTGGGAATCGCTGGAGCAAGCCAGCTCCAGCTCACGTCTGGGGCCATGCTGCTCCCACATTTTTTCCTGGTGATCGGAGGAGAGCCTACTCAGTGGACTTGATTCCAGAGAGTGATGTGCCTCTGAGTGGTGTGCTCATCTGCATTAGAGGTGGCCTCTTGACTGAGAGGGTGCCTGAATGAGGCCTGCTTTTAAAAATGGGAAGTTAACGAGTGCTTCATTTTCTTTCTTCTCTAGCTGCTATTAACTTAGCAAAGCTGAAACTTTTCAGACATTATTACGTCTTGGTAAGTAAAAAAAAAAAAAAAAAAAAATCCTCAATCTATAAATAAAATCAATTCAAAGAGTAGAGCAAATGAACTTCCAAAGAATTGGTGAAAGCACAAGATGTGCCAACTGGAGCTGACTGGTGTGGCTTTTCTTTCTTTTCTTTTCTTTTTTTTTGGGGGGGGGGAGACAAAATCTCGCTCTGTCACCCAGGCTGGAGTGCAGTGGCATAATTTCAGCTCACCGCAACCTCTGTCTCTCGGGTTCAGGTGATTCTCCCTGCCTCAGCTTCCCAAGTAATTGGGATTACAGGCACCTACCATTACACTCGACTAATTTTTGTATTTTCAGTAGAGACAGGGTTTCACCATGTTGGCCAGGCTGGTCTAAAACTCCTGACCTCAGGTGATCCTCCTGCCTCTGTCTCCCAAAGTGCTGGGATTACAGGCATAAGTCACTGTGCCTGGCCAGTATGGCTTGCTTTTCTTCTTCTTCTTCTTCTTCTTTTTTTTTTTTTTAAAAGACTGAGTCTCTCTATGTTGTCTTAGGATGGACTCCAACTCCTGGGTTCAAAAGATTCTACTGCCTTGGCCACCTGAATAGCTTGGACTGCTTATGCACACCACCATGCCTGGCTTTCATTTTATAAAATCTACTTATGTCTCTTAAAATGGGAAATTAAATACCTGAGTTACATCTTTTTTTTTTTTTTTTTT